CTTTCACGGCCTGGGCATTCCCCACTATGGCCAGTGGGCTATTTGCATCTCAGTATAGAAAAGAATCGATAGAAAGCTGAAAAGCCCTGGCTCTCGCACAAAAGATAATCAAAGCACCGAACCCAAGGCAGCTGGAGTAGGACACAGTGGGAATTATCTGAAATTAATTATCCTGCTAGTAGGCCAATGGAGCATCAGTAAGAAGGAATATTTTGGATGGAGTTTCTTGCTGAGTCTCCAGGAAAACATGGGACAGACTAACGTCAGGGTGAGAAGGGCAAGTGTCACGTACATCGGGATCACAATCAAGTACAAGCAAACTTCGGTGCCAACGGTTCATTACCATATGCAGCAATGAACAGCGTGACTGAACACGGGTGTGGGTTGTTTGCACAAAGGCAGCTCGCAAAATATACAGAGTAAACAGCCTTTCTTCAGAAAACTCTCTCCACTGCTGACTAGACTGTCTTCACCTACATCTTTCAGCAAAAAGAAGAGTCATTCTAGAGCTTCTGGGAAATTGTGCTGGAAGTGGAAGGAGCATATCGTACCCCTGGCCCTCCCTCCAACTAGGAAAGGCTGAGTTTATTTTTGAGCCGTCTATGAAGAAACAGTTTGTAAGGAGTTAATAATGTAATCACGTACACGTACACGTACACGTACACGTCTGTGTGAGCATGTGTGAGGCTAATTTTAACCTCTGCACTGCAGGGTAAACTCCACTGGGGCAGGGCCTCTCTCTCTCCTTCACCTTTGTAACCTGGATACCTAGCATGAAGCCTGGCACACAGCAAGCGCTCTGCAGAGGCTCCACAGATGCCTCCTAAATGAACAAAGAAATGCTCAAGAGAACGAATGCCCAATTTTTAAGAGGTACCCATTTCATTCTGTCAGCTGATATCAAGGTGATGGTTGTGATTTACCCTCTGAAAGGGGTTCAACAAATCAATACTTAATATAATACTTTCTTAGCAGCTTGTTCAAAATGCCTACAGTACTCTATTTATAGTAACTTTTTCCTAAATGAGATAAGCCTCTCTCCTTACCATCTAAGTATGTGAGGTTTTACTACAGGCCTGTTTCTCTGAATGGATAGTCTTGTAACCTCTCCCTTGACTCAGATGCTATTAATCAGGACAGCATCCAGTGAGACGGACACTAAAAGACCCACTATGGACAACTGAGGCTATGTGTTCTCCCCCCGAGTTGGGTTTGAATCACATCAGTCCTGAGTTACGACATTTATTTTTCATGATTCTTTGGATTCATGATTTACATTTATATTATGTTAGAACTAGGGGATAAGAGACCCCAAAAGGCACAGTGAAAACCATGGACGCGGTTCCTTTGATTACCTCATAGTCCCAGGACATGCTGCTGGCTAGCATATGACACATTTATTATTATAAATGGTAACGTCTCAGTCCCCTCCACACAAAAGCAAACCAAGCAGAGCTTTCAAATTAATAATCCTTTGGGTTTTTTGTTTATTTGTTTGTTTGTTTTAGCTGCAATGGAATCTGGTGTTTGATTCAGGAAATCAGGGACAAGGAGGTAGTGGGAGGGTTATATTTACTGATGATATGCCATCATTTGTTACGTAGACGCAAAGAAGTGTAAAGACTGAGTCTATTGTCTCAAGACATAAAACATGCTCTTAAAGCAGCCAGGAAGGATGACCATTCAAATACAAGTTTGTTCACTGAATATTTCTCAAGCAGGCTACATGAGCTGAACATTGAGTCAGGCACTCACTGGAGACACAAAGATAATACAGCTGCCTTTCTTGCTCAAGGAGCTCACAATTTCCATGGAGGTTGAAATATATACAATTAATTCTGATACTCCAGGATAACTGTTAGATTTCATGTAGCAAGCTCGTTTAACAAAGCACAGAACAGGAAACTATAAAAACACACTTGAGGATGCTAAAGTTTCAGAGGAGGTGGCAGTTGGACTTCACCTTGAAAGATGCATAGATTTTTACCTGGAAAAATTTGCAGGAAGACATTTTAGGTAGAGGAAATGCAGAAATTAAAGCAGACAGTGTGAAATTACAAGGTATGATCAGTAAGGCATTCAGGGTCCAATGCAGATGGAGTGGAGACCTACTGGAGCAAGGGGTGACAGATGCGAGTAGAGAAATTGATTAAGGCCAGATCACAGAGGGTCTTGAGTGTGCCAGGAAGTTTGGAATTTATCTTGTAAAACTGGAAAACCGTCAGGCTTTTCTGAAACACACGAATGTAAGAAGAGAGGTATGTTTTGGAAAGATGACTGGCTGTATGGAGCACTGACAAGAGGAACAAGAGTCTAAAGAAATGGAGGTAGAGTTGCTTCCAGACTTTAAGGAAGAGAGGACCTAACAAACAAAACAACTGCAGAGTAGCTACAAACTACTCAAATAAACAAAATCTTGAAAACCAAAAGAAAAAAAAAAAATGCATAATAGATGAAAAAGGTTAACTCTCTCCATTCTCACTCCATGCAGTTTGATGTTAGCACCATGAAATGTCTATCTGAAACTCTGGAATTCTAATTCCTATGATCTTGGTGGAACTCCTGAGAAGCAATGTTTTGGTCACGTTAAAATAGCATGAATAACACAAGGCATCAAAACTGGAAAAGAAGAAGAAAAATTGCCTCTATTCACAGGTGACATGGCCTTATATGTAGAAAACGCTAAAGATTTTACACGCACACCCACACCCCCACACACACACATCTGTTAGAGATAAAGAAATTCAGCAAAGTTGCAGGATACAAAATCAACACAGGAAAATCAGTTCCATCTTTGTATACTGGCAATAAAAAATTCAAAAAGGAAATTAAGTAAACAATTTCATTTTATAATAGCGCCAAAAAGAATAAAATACTTAAAATTAAACTTAACCAAGGAGACAAGACTTGTACACTGAAAACTACAAAACAATGCTGAAAGAAATTCAAGAAGACATAAATAAATGGAAGAATAGCTGTGTTCACAGATCGGAA